CGCGGCTGCAGGAGCTGTGGCTGCAGCTGCATGGCGACATGCAGGCGCTGCATTCCTGGCAGCTGCTGCTGCGCGACATCCGGCACGTCCAGGGCTGGACGCAGCTCACGGTGAGCCCTGCGGGCTGCGGGGTTGCAGGGTGCAGTGTGGGGCTGTGGGGTTGTAGGGTGCGGTGTGGGGCTGCGGGGTGCAGTGTGGGGCTGTGGGGTGTGATGTGGGGCTGCGGGTTTGTAGGGTGCAGTGTGGGGCTGCGGGTTTGTAGGGTGCAGTGTGGGGCTGTGGGATGCAGTGTGGGTCTGTGGGGTGTGATGTGGGGCTGCAGGATTATAGGGTGCAGTGTGGGGCTGCGGGGTGCGGTGTGGGGCTGCAGAGTACAGTGCAGGGCTGTGGGGTTGTAGGGTGCAGTGTGGGAATGTGGGGTGCAGTGTGGGGGACTGTGGGGTGCAGTATGGGGCTGTGGGGCTGTAGGGTGTGGTGTGGGGCAATGTGGGGCTGTGTGGGGTTATAGGGAGCTGTGTGGGGTGGTGTGGAGCAGTGCACACAGCAGTGCAGTGCCGTGCAGTGCAACCTGGTGCAGCACGGTGCCTCACACTGCAGTGCAGTGCAGTGCAGCACAACGCTGTGTCCCGTGCTGCAGCACAGTGATGCATTGTGGTGCTTCATGCTGCAGTGCAGTGATGCAGCGCATTGTGGTGCTACACGGTGCAGTGCACAGTGATGCGGCGATCGAGGTGCTGCATGCTGCAGTGCAGTAATGCAGTGAATTGTGCTGTGTTATGTGGTGCAGTGATGCAGTGATCCTGATGCTGCATGCTGCAGTGCAGTGATGCAGTGCATTGTGGAGCAGCACACAGTGATGCAGCACGTAGCAGCGCCTCACATTGCACCACAGCATGGTGCCCTGGCGTATTGCAGTGCTGCACTCCATGATGCAGTGCCACACAGCGCACTGCGGTGCCCCGTGGTGCAGATAGGTGTGATGCAGCGCACTGCAGCGCCACGCAGTGCAATGTGATGCAGCGCAGTGTGGTGTCACGTGTTGCGGCGTACCGTGCTGCAGCGCATTGCATTGCCACACGCAATAATGCAGCACCACGCAGTGCATCGCAGTGCCCCAGGCTGCACTGCACCACAATGAACACCCACACGCTGCACTTTATGCTGCTGCCCTGCACCCCGGGGCACCGCCGTGCAGCCCTGCAGCCCCGCAGCGCTGCAGCCGCATGTTCTGAGCGCGGTGCTCCCTTGCAGCTGCGCACCATGGCGACGGAGGAATGTCAGCGCACGCTGCGCAGCCTGGAGACACATTACCAGCAGTTCCTGCAGCACAGCGCTGACGCGCGCTGCTTCCAGCCCGACGACCGCATGCAGCTGCAGCGCGACTACAGCGCCTGCACGCAAAAGTACGAGCTGCTGCTGCGCGCGCAGGAGAAAGGTGAGCAGCCCCGACCCGATGCAGCTGCCCTGTGCAGCGCTGCAGTGCTGCACACCCTCCCCCCTAATCTGCTGCATCCACTCAGAGCAGTGCTGCGGTGCTGCGGTGCTGCTGCTATCCCCACAGCACCTGTTCCATGCAGTGCTGCAGTGCTGCATTCTCAACCCGCTGCAGCCATCTCATGCAGTGCTGCAGTGTTACCCCACAGCACCTGTAGCATGCAGTGCTGGAGTGCGGCACCCCCAACCCGCTGCATCCACTCAGCACAGTGTTGCATGCTACGACCCACCCCCACAGCACCCCCTTGCAGTGTTGCAGAGCTGCACCCACAACCCACTGCATCCACTCAGTGCAGTGCTGCAGTGCTACCCCACAGCACCTGTTTCATGCAGTGCTGCAGTGCGGCACCCCCAACCCACTGCATCCACTCAGCACAGTGCTGCATGCAACGACCCACCCCCACGGCACCCCCATGCAGCGTTACAGAGCTGCACCCCCAACCCACTGCATTAATTCAGTGCAGAGCTGCAGTGCTGCACCTCCTCCCAATATAATCCCCCCCCACCACACAGACAGCACCCACTCCATGCAGTGCTGCACTACTGCCCCACAGCACCCACCCAGTGCAGTGCTGCAGTGCTGCAGTGGTGCAGACACCTGCTCAGCTGCTCTGTGTCCCAATATGTGGTGCCTACCTGCTGCAGTGCTGCAACGCTGCACCCTGCCCGTTCATCTGTGCTGCAACCCAATCTGCGGTGCCTGCCTGCTGCCAGGCTGCAGTGTTGCACTGCTGCAGTGCAGAACCACTGCAGTGCTGCACCTCCACCCCACAGCACCCAACCCATGCAGTGCTGCATCCTCACCCTGCTTCACAAACACATTGCGGGGCTGCATGGCTGCATCTGTCCACTCAGCTGCGCTGCATCCCAACCTGCAGCACCTGCCCTGTGCAGTGCTGCACTCCTGTCTCACAGCAACCACTCAGTGCAGTGCTGCAGCGCTGCA